CCATATTTAGGCTTCAGAACGTCATAATAAAATTTATACATGTGTTGCTTACTCAAATCTAAAATACTCATCCCAATAAATATAGGTTTGTCTAGTTTCAACTTTGTTTTTTGCTTTTCAACTCCAACCAAATTTTCAATAATGATATGACTATGTTTGAAGTTAGGATTACTTACACACTTCATATATCTAGTTTCATCACTCACAACTTCAAAGTCTAAATGTTTTCGCTTATCCTCCATTGTTTTTCCAAATATGGCATTGTTCATCAATTTGTAAACATCTTTCTCAAACTCATTTCTAGCATTCTTCCTCTTCTCAGTGTTAAACTCAATGTAAGGTTTTAAAACTTCTTTTTGTTCAAATTTAATTGCTCTATGAATTTTCTTAAGTTTTAACCCTTGCTTCAAATAAAATTGTAAGGTTCTTATATGGATTACATATTTTTCTTAATCATTTAAATTCAATACTAATTTATTTGTTTTCTCATCCGTAGGTTTTTTATGATTTAAAAATTCATAAATTTCAATTTGTTTATCTGACAGCATGTCGGCTTTAACATTCATAACCACAGGTGCCATTGGATAGTCATTGTGTAAATCGTGTAATTCTTTAGGATATTCTAAATCCACTTCTAGAATATATCCAATATTATTATTCTTATAATTAATAATGTCTTCTTCATTTAATGTATCATCCCATTTTAGATTTTTATATGGCAGTTTTTGTATCATGCTTAACCCGTACAAATTATTAGCATCAAAATAGTTAATATAACTACTTTCTTTATTTTTATCATATTCTTCTCCCATGTATTTATTATTTTCTTCAACTTTTTTAGTAGAAACCATACACATCCCGCCTCTAAGTCCCGCTTCTATCATTTCATACATTTCTCGGTCATATATTAAATCAATCTCTACACCAGTCATTTTAAGCATAGCATCAAAAGCAAAGTTAGGCAATGTAGAATAATAAGCAGGGTCCAATCCATAATATTTCATACATACATCTCTAAAATTTTCGAAAATGTCAGTCAATAATAATACATCAGTTTTCAAATATAAATCATGGTATTCACCCATATTCTTAATGTCAAAATGCTTCCATATAATTTTTGCCCTTTCATAGTCTTCATAACTTATACCTTCTTCACTCAACTGACTATAAAAATCATCCTTACTCGGTAATTGCTCATCATCAAATTTATCAAATGAATTCATGTAGTCATAAGGATAAACGCCTTTATCAGTTAATAAATCTAGACATTTCTCACTCTTAATCAAATCATTTTTACTACTAAACCTAAAATTATCTTTCCAGTCTTCACGCAATAACCATTTACTTTTATCTACTTCATCTGTATTATCATACTTACTCATTGAAACTAACTTATCTAATGAAGCAGTTAAAAACCCGAAAGTGTCTTTAACACTCAAACTTTCAAAACTGATATTAATAAATTTTTCACTGTTCTGAGCGATGACACCTATTTTATTGTTGTTACTTAATTTATCCGCATTTTGAATAATTAAATGGCCATCATAATTTTTCATGTTATGGAAGAATACAGGAATTTTAAAATATCTATTACAAAAATTAAGATTGCAAACATTATGAGCACAACCTCTATACTTACCTGTAAAATGACAATGGTCTCTAACTTTTCTATATTTCTCTTCTTCCTTGGCATTCTTATAGTTCATTCTAAACTTATCCCCACAAATAAAGCAGTTTTTAGCATTTTTAAAATCTTCTTTGTCTTCATCAGTCGCGTAGTCACGCGAGGCTCTGCCGAGCGTCATATCTATTTTTTTGTTTTCTCCCATCTTCTCCTTTACTTCTGTCCTAATCTCATTAAGTTTTTGACAAAACACATCAACAGCATCTTTACCACGATACATAAATTCATAATTTGTATTATCAACAGCATTAACCATATTAAGCATAAAACCACATGGTTTATGCTCTTGATAAGAAAAAGAGTTTTTATCTTCATCTTCATCAGGTTTTTTCAGTTCCTCTGTCAAACATTCAAAATCAGCATATACAACAAAAGGACATCTTAACTTTTTGAAGTGATGCTTAAAACTAACTTTCTCATAAGGCTTAGGCATTACTATCTGTTGTCCTTCAACTTCCATGCATCCACTATCATAATGTTTATTTAATAATTCTTCATTTCTAAATCCATGATTAAAATATTTACAAAAATAGGACTTACCATTATGATTACTTTTTTGATTATTAATAAGTCTGCTCAAACTTTTTATATACACATAATGACTGCAATCCTCATCATCAACTCTTAATAAATCAAAATGAAAAGAAGCATCTTTATTTTTCAATTTTCTACTAATAACAATTTGTTCATTATCATCAATTTCATAAACATTAATGGATATTGATTTATTATTTTCTTCAAATATATCTATATCATTATTATTAGCAGGAAAACTCACACCATCAAAAAATAAATCACTTGCTATCTTCTTGTAATGAAACATCTTTTCAGGGTGTGCTTTATCACAAATTTTACAATATCCACACTCAATAGAATATTTAAAACACTTGACATCTTGATTTTTAATATTGATACATGCCTTTTTCTTTTTAATCCATTCTGGAAGTTCAATATATTTGCCAGCTCTAGTCGGATTATATTTGTTATACATGATATGAATATTATTAATATTGCTAATTATTAATCCTGACTGATACAAAGCCATATCTAAAATTCGTGTTTCAACATCAGGTCTCATTTTTTTCAAAGCATTCCTTAAATCCTCTTCATTTACAATAGTGTACGACCTTGTCCTAACTGTTACGTTTCTCTCCTCATCAAATAAGTTCATAACTTTCATATTTATTGTAGCATTAAGTTTCATTCCTCTATTCTCTTTCAAGTATACATTAAGTTTGTCAAATTGATAATTAAAATAAGTCAATCCGTTCAACTCTTTTAAATGAATGTTTGAAATTGTGTAGGCGTTAGCATATGCTCTAAAGGCGATTCTTTCTTCTGTTATTACTGCTTTTTTCTTAATAGCATGTTTTAAAACCGTTCTTGCTCCTACTCTTTCTCTGATTTGATTTGCTTTGTAGTCATTAGTTTTCTTTACTGCTTCAAGTCTCTTACTCAATCTATTGCTTATTGGTTTTTTTGGATTATATCTATACTGATTGTTTCCTATAATTATGGTTTTAAGTTTTTTACCTTTATTATTTACTTTGTATTCTCCTAAATTTTCTTTAAGAAGATACTTAACTATTTTAGTGTTTTCATCTGGCGGTAAATCTCTATTCATATTATTATCTATATAATTTAATTAGGTTTTTTCTCTTTAAGTCTTTTTGAAGTCATAAAATTCTAAGAACTAAATAACTAATTATTAGTCTAAATTATTTTTTATTTTTAATTTTCAATTAGTAATA